AAAGGGGAAATGTGGTGATATCTTGTTTGTAAAAAATAAAGCTTGCCTAAAGATCATAGGGCAGAGCTAGCCACTAGTTAACCATAGCGGTCTGGAGGTCTGTACAGACAGACAGGAAGTGATATGGCTGGGTGGAGAGAGGAAGTAGTAAAGCAGGAGGAGACAGGAGTTCACTTTCTTTTTGGCTAGGAAGTTGAATAGGTAAGGTAAGGTGGTTGTGGTTTTGCTCCTTTGTCTCTGATCTCTCAGCATTTTCCCCTATATTTGACTCTGGGCTTTTATTAGTAAGACCTATTAGAACTCATGTTACAAATATCTATGTACCACATGAGTGCTTGGTGCTCAGGGAGCCCAGAGGAGCATGCCAGATGCGCTGGAACTGGAGTTACAATTAGTTCTGAGCGCCATGTGGGTGCTGGGAGTTGAACCTGGATCCTTTGAAATAGCAGTGAGTGCCATCAAGCCCTGAGCCACATCACTTGGCTATCTTTTTTTTTTTTTTTTTTTTTTTTTAAATACAGTCTAGTACCACTTTCCTGAGGAAAGTTGTCACACACAGTGGGCTGGGCCCTCCTAATTCAATTGAAAAATCAAGACATTCTTTGACAGACATATCGAGAGACTAGTCTGATGTCAACAATTCCTCAACTGATGCTTGTCCTCTCAGATGATTCTAGGCTGTATCAAGTTGACAATTATGGCTAACCAGGACATCAAGTTTTACCTATTTCTGCTTTAAAAATTATCTTTTACTTTCTTTTAATTTGTCATTTTTACTTTTCAGGATGAATATCAGCCCATTAAATTCAAGTTTTTTTTCCCCCAAAGGAAGCAAGTATGGTTATAAATACTCTCAATGCATTGTTTTAAATATATCCCATAGTTTTTTGGTGAGTATTTTACTTACTGAGTTCTATATGTATTCAAACTTCCATCCTGATTTCTTCTGTGCTATATGACCTACTAAGTTAGCATAGTTTTCCATTTCCAAACATTTGACCTTGATGTAGGTTAGTTTATCACACTTACTCTAACCTTCCTAATGCTTTGACCCTTTAATACAGTTCCTCATGTTGTTGTGACTCCCAACCACAAAATTATTTTCATTGCTACTTCATAATTATAATTTTGCTACTGTTATGAATTGTAATGTGTAATCTGTGTTCTTTGATGGTCTTAGGTGATCCTTGTGAAAGGGTCATTTGACCCCTAAAGGGGTTGCAACCTACAGGTTGCAAACTGCTGATCTAATACATGCATCAATTTTGGTAAGTCTATCCTTAGGAGGAACACATACTTACTATCTAGATATTGTTATTAAGATACCACATGTTATTTAAATCCTAAGAGTCTTTTTTTTTAACTTTGGTCTATTAATTATTGAGGTGAAAATTATTGTAAATGGAATTTTTGATTTTTTAGTTCTTGCTTTATATACTTTGAAGCCACAATCTGTAAGACTTTAAATTATGTTTTTCTTATGAATTAGTAAGTCTGGATTCCTATTTTAATAGGCAATTTCTTTTGGTATTTGATGGGCATTTCTTACTATTTATTTATTTTGTGTGCCACATATATTCATGTGTGTGCAGGTATGCTCACTTGTGTGTGGATGTTTAGAGGGTATCTTCCTCTTACTTTCTATCTTATTCTTTGAGGCAGGGTCTCTCACTAAATCTGGGGCTCACCATTTCAGCTGGCTGAGCCAACTCCCAGACACATTTCTTACTTATCTTCAAATTTTTACATGATTGTCCTATAAATGGTTTATTTGGATTTTAAATGTTGCACCTAGTTCATTTATCATTTTTAGCCAGAAATCCCTTAGCTTTGCCTTTATTTCTGAATCAGTTCAGACATAGAAATGTAGGCTACCAGCTGTTTTCCTTACTTTCAAAAACGCTTATCTCCTTGAGCTTCTACTTTACTCTGAAAGGTTTCTAGGGTCAACTTAAATAGCATCAGGCCAGCAAGATGGCTCAGTGGGTAAAAACACCTACTGGGAAGGCTGATCACCTGAGTTTGACTCCTGGGACCCAAGATGAGAAATGAGAGAACTGACTCTAGCATGTTGTCCTCTGTCCTTCCCATGTGTGCCATGACATGCATGTATCCCCTTTACATACATAATAAATACATGTAAGAAATGAATGAGTTAATATTCCTTTGGAGGCAACCTTCCTTTTCTTGGGTTGTTTTAAATATTTTCCTGACTGTAGGTTCAATCTACACATCATCTAAACATCTTTTCTTTTCAGCAGCCTCCGTGTTATGCCTTTCAATTCTTGAAAATGTCTTAAGGTAACTGCTACACATTCCTATTACTACATTTCCTCAGTTTTTAAAATAACCACTCCCTTTATTATTGATGTTCTATATATGCAGTCCTTTAAGAAAATTTACCTGGTCAATTTTCTCATCTTTCTGTTCTTTTTTGTAGGATATAGTTCTTGGTAATCTAAAACCTAAGAGACTAAACTTTCTTTTTGTCTTGTCTACTCATGATGAAGAGGGCTTACCTAATGTGGGATTGGTGGGGGGTGCCCTTCAGTGGTATTTTAGGAGTGCAAGCTCCATAGTATGTTTGACTATTTTGGATTAATTAATTGCCTTAAAGTTGTTGTGAGCTCAGGACTAGACTCTCTTGTTAATGTTTGTGATTTGTACTTCCTGGGCTCACCAGGGAATATCAATTCATATCCTAAACACAAAGATAATTTTCTAGGGATGAAATCACAGGATAATGTTAGACGTGGTGGTATACGCCTTTAGTCCCTCCACTTGGGAGGCAGAGGAAGGCGGATATCTGTGAGTTTGAGGCCAGCCTGGTCTATAAAGCAAGTTCCAGGACAATCAGGGCTGCTACACAGAGAAACCTTGTCTCAAAAGGAAAAAAAAAAAAAACAAAAGAACCTCACCTGCTTACCCTTTCATTTTAGTTATCTCCCTCTAAGGGGTCTGGATGTATAAGTGTCTTCACAATGGTTACACAAACTCTAGTCTTTTTTTCTCCCTTCAGTGTTACTGTTAAAACCAAACTCCTTATGTCCACCCCTGACCCCTGAGTGGTAATGAGTAACTGAAATCACCAGAGGCTTTTGTATCATTTTTTTTTATTGAACTAAAATATAGTTGTCTGTTTTCATAAGAATTACTGGTTTTATTTTGAACTTATATTTGCCTTTTGAGGGATTCCTAATAAGTTTTGTACAATATTTCCAAGTGTTTTTGACTTATTTTAAAACATTTCATGTTATCTATCATTTTCTATAAATATAAATCTCATTTTCATTTTTTTTGGTGGGATGGTCATATCTTACTTATGTAGCCCAGGTTGGTCCCCAAATCATGACATGTTCTCCCAGTCTCTCTTTCTTTCCTTCCCCTTTTCTACATATGCAGAAATTAAGTCTAATTTTATCTCTGTTGATACTCCTATAAGTTAAAAATAAATGTGATAGTAGTCAACAATCAATCTCAGAGTTATTTAAAGGCATTCTGTTTGTAGTACTGTCCATAATAGTTTCACATGATCATAGAGGGCAGCACAGTGAGAACATAGACCTGAGTAAGTGATGGGGGATGTCCTTCTGTATATATGTTTCTCTTATTGGTTGATGGATAAAAACTGTTTGGTCAATAGAGGAAGGAAGATAGGTGGGACTAAGAGACGAGGAGAATTCTGGGAAAGGTAGGCAGAGAGGCACAAAAGAGACACCATGTAGCGAAGGAAGGAGTAACAGTTCCGGACCCTTCTCCAGTAAGATAAGACCATGTGGAAATACTTAGATTAATAGAAATGTGTTAATAATTAAGAGAGAGCTAGTCAGTAAGAAGCCCTAGCCATCGGCCAACATTTTATAATTAATATAGTGTCTGTGTGCCTTTTTGGGGCTATTTGGCAACAGGACCTGGTGGGACAAGAAACTCCAGCAACAAGTAGGATTCAATGTTTGGATTTCAACTGATATGACCAACACTTTAAGATATAATAAATTCTTCCACCCTAATGTTCCTCACCAGAAAAAGGGCTTTCTTCTGAAGACAGTATGTACATACATGTATCATGTGTATACACGTGTAAGCCAGCATCTTCCTCTCTTGCTACCAGTGAATTAGTTCTTTTTAAAATTCATTTATTTTTATTTCATGTGCATTGGTGTTTCACCTGCATGTCTATGTGAGGATGTCAGATGCCCTGGAACTGGAGTTATAGACAGTTGTGAGCTGCCGTGTGGGTGCTAATTAGTTTTTGAGACAGGTTTTTTTTTTTTTTTTTTTTTTTTTTTTTTTTTTTAACTGAACCTTGAGCTCCCCATTTCAGCTGGAATGGCTGAGCAGCAAGCTATAGAATCCACCTGTCTCCCTTCCCTCCTTGTGCTGGAGTTACAGATGTGAACTACTACAAGGGTGGCCTGATTTTATGTGGGTGCTAGGAACTGAACTCAGGTCCTCATGCTTGCACAGCAATCACTTTATTCACCAGGCCATCTTTCCAGGCCCATAAAGCACTTAAACAAATAAAACAAAACAAACGAACAAAGAAAAAAACCAACAAGTGTTTGATCAATGTTTGCATTCACCAGTTAGGACTCCATAGGTTTTTACAAACCATAATCTTTCAAGATTAAGGTAAAAAATTTGCTGTGCAATCCCAATGACCCAAACTGAATTCCCAGAACCCACATAAAGGGGGAAGGAGAAAACTAACTCCATGAAGTTGTCCTCTGACTTCCACAGGTGTGCTGAGGCATGTGTGTGCCTTTGTGCACACACATACTTAAAAATTAAATTTAATCTTAATATATGTATAATATTTTAATTATTTCTATCTCAGTTTATTTAACTACAAAACACTACGGCCTTAGCAGTTGCCCCATGGAGTAAATAAAACAAAAAATTTAGAGTTACAAATATTTACATGAATCAAACAATACATTATAGAAATCATGTCTTCTTATATTCTTCTCTGAAGTAAGTCAATATATAACAAACAATACCTTAGCTTTTGGGGTAGCTTTAATTGTCCATATGCAATCAACTGCTTGCCCAGGCTTTGTTTTTTCTTCTTGTTCTACCTGGCTAGAACGTATTATTCCATCAGCTCCTGAGAGCTCAAACTGGCAATCTAGAAAAAAAAAGAAAAGATATTCAAAGAAAAATAAAACTTATAAAAAAATGTCATAGGAAGAAAGAGGTAATATACTAAACCTGGGATGGGATTTAAAATACCTCCAAGGTAAGTAAAGTCTGGATCTGCAACAGAAAAGAGAAGAAAGTCATTTGTTCTGAGCTTCTTTCAGACCTAACTGATGTCTAAAGCTTCAATACATAGCAACCTAAGAGGCACTGTCATTGGTAGATACTTCGTATCACTAGTAATTTGGGAGAATGTTTATAGGGTTGACATTTAATGAAAATTTGTACACTTTTGATTTCATCATGTATGCTTTATGCTACTAAAAATATTAACTGTCAAATGTAGTAGCTAGTCGATTAACATGGACAGATAAATAAAATATGGTATATTTAATACAATGGGACACTATTTAGCCTTAAAAGGAATATATTTCCTTTGTGTTGAGCTATGGTAAATGTTTTCTAAAATGTTTGCTTCAATGGGTAGTGGTGATATTTGCAAAACAATATAAATATACTCGATGTTACTGACTTATAAATAATTAATATTTAATCATAGTCAAATGTTCTTTTAAAAATATTATACAGATGCCTCAACAATTATTTCTAAGTTAAAAGAGGAACCACAAAAAAAACTGTATATGTAATCTTGAAAACCTAATTTACATACATGGTTTACTCCAAGTAAGAGGACACTCAATTCTTATAAATACTGTCTTTAATTGAAGATACTTTAGAGAGTTACCAAATTACATATTGGAAATAAAGTACTAGCTTAATTTCAAATACATTTCAAAGCGAGTGTTCTTTTTAAACTAAAAGTAAATTTGTCCTTGTTTAAAGAGTCTACTAGTGAACACCAGCTCTTTTGCAAAACAAAAAACAAAACAAAACAAACAAACAAAGACAGAATTAAAATCCTAAACTGTATTGGGAAAAACTTTTAGATCTTTCTGGAAAATTAATTAAAAGTGTTTTTCTTCTGTTTTTAAACATTTATTTATTTATTTATAGACATAAATAGCTCTGTCTATCCTGGAACTCACTATATAGACCAGGCTGGCCTTGAACTCACAAGAGATCTACCTTGTGCTACTGTAGTGTATATAGGCTAGCCTTAAACTCACTATGTAGTGTGTTATTATAGATACACCTTTAAAGAACATCAAAATAGCCTGGCGTTGGTGGCGCACGCCTTTAATCCCAGCACTTGGGAGGCAGAGGCAGGGGGATCTCTGTGAGTTCGAGACCAGCCTGGTCTACAAGAGCTAGTTCCAGGACAGCCTCCAAAGCCACAGAAAAACCCTGTCTTGAAAAACCAAAAAAAAAAAAAAAAAAAAAAGAGAGAGCTTTAAAGAATTAAAAAAAAAAGAACATCAAAATAAGTACAGCTGTATTTTAGGCAACTATATTCCCTATTTATTTTATGAGTTTATATTCTAAGTTTAGAGATAAAACTAGGGAATCCCTGTCCTCCAGTAAAGAAGAAATATGACACAATAGAAAAAATAATCTAGGAAACTCTTGTCCTGGATTTTCTAGTGAATAGAAAAATACTTAATTCCTAAAATTTCTTATCTATAAAACAGGATGTTATATAATCTTTATGATATTTCCATTAGTATAAAATTTAATATAATGAAAGTTGTACCAGAAGCCCTGTAAGGTACAAGATGAAATATTCCAGAAATTCCTAGAAAATGGCAGCCCACAGAATGGGAAAAGATATTCACCCACCCCACATCTGACAGAGGGCTGATTTCCAAAATATACAAAGAACTCAAGAAGCTAGTCTCCAATACATCAACTAATCCAGTTAAAAAGTGGGATATAGAACTAAACAGACAATTCTCATTAGAGGTATCTAAAATGGCTGAAGAACACATAAGTAAGTATTCAAAATCCTTAGCCATCAGGGAAATGCAAATCAAAACAACTCTGAGATACCATCTTACACCTGTCAGAATGGCTAAAATCAAAAACACCAATGACAGTTTATGCTGGAGAGGATGTGGAGAAAGGGGATCACTCCTC